GTGCTCGAGTGGAAAACGGAAAAAAAAAAGGTGGCGACCTGTGGGGAAACCAGTCGTGAAAATTGATTTTATTTAATTGTTGGACTTAGGGTTTTTCACATATTTTTTGTACATTATTTTTAAAACAAGTGCAATGAAAGTTAATCGTTATCTGTAACAGGTCGAGTGAATTTCGGTCAACTATAATACCAGATAACAGCTAATTATGGTGCGATGGGAGGTGAAGTCGTGTTTTGAAAATGGCAATTAGCCAATACCGGTTTTCGTGAATCCCGGTTACGAGCGCATGCAAATGATCGGCGAAGCTTCAGGTTTTGGAAAGACAGATTTCACGAAGGAGTGCGCACGGAGGGCCGGAACGTGTTCGTTAATTGAATATTCATACGTGCGAGTATATTTACATTTCGTTGAATTATCATATCGGCCTCAACCGCGAAGCCATGCATTCCCGTAGGAGCAAAGGCAACTTGTACTCTTCGGGTTGTTAAAATTGAGGAAAATTGCCCTCCGATGCGGAGAATCTAGGTAAAGGGATGGGAAGGCCCGCTCTGTTAGCTATACTCTAGTAAACGAAGGAAAACAGTCAAAGCAAGGAGAGCAAGGAGAGCAAGGAAAGCAAGAAGGATTTGTATTTGGAATCCAACCAGAAACGTAGTACGGTGTACCTACTTAATGCAATGTTTGTCCTTTTCCCAAAAGACGTATGATTTTCGTAGAAGCAGTGACGCGGACGTGTAGCTACCACTAAAGGAGATTGTTTGAGGTTAAACAGAATGAAACGTCATTGAGAAAGGGATGATTACGCCCCTTGACCCCCGTCTGCTCTCTTCCAGCTAAATGGAACGAGACGAGAAACATAGAATACTGTGAATGAGTGAGAAAGAGAGAGAGAGAGAGAGAGAGAGAGAGAGAGAGAGAGAGAGGCGATGAAATAAAGATAAATTACTCCAGCTCTTCATAATACACGACTCTCCGTAAGGGATGCTCTCCCAGTGAGAAGCACGCAATTCGCATATTTCCTCCCTAAAGAAGATTAGGTGTCCACTCGACGTGCGTAACGCAGAATGAAGGCCACCAACAATTTCACGCACGATGCATATTTGCAAGTGCTCGTGTCCAGGGGGCACCTAGTAACAGGGGCTGCCGGCTGGGCGGCCATGTTGGTTCCCAATTAAACAAACGCCGCTCGCAACTCGAACAACCCCTCGCATCGTTTTCGCTTTTGCTTGAGCATGGAGAGGGGTGGGGGAGCACACACGTGTCGACGAGTATGTGAACGCGGCTTAACTCGGTTACGCTACGCTCGTCACTGACCAGGCTCTCCCTATCGCGTAAGCCGTGATGCCTGCCTCATCCGCTAACTGCCTGACTGTCATACTGGTCCTTTGAATTTGTAATTCTTCACGCGCTACCGAAACGTCTAATTAAATGAGGTGGAGAGGCGTCTGCGAAAACCAAGGCAGCTTCGGCAAGTACGCTGGATCGGAACGTTAGATTATGAAAAGGCGTGTGAATTATTATTAGTTTATTATGTTGGCTAAAATTCAACCTGCTGAATATATCCAGAGCGAGAGAAAGAGAGAGAGAGAGAGAGAGAGAGAGAGAAAGGAGGGGGAGTCGAGGGAGGGAAAACAAGGTAGCCCGAGCACTTTTAGCTTCTTGCTGGATTACATTACGGGGTCAAATATTGTAGTAGCCCTTATGGCGTGGTCAAGCTGTTTGACTTACTGATTGTTCGTTCGTCCGTTCTTCCAGTAGGATGGACCAGACGTCGCGACGCGTCAGCAACGCTCGACGCTGTGTACCACAGGCTAATCCTGATGAGAGTAACCTTCTCTCAAGTTCAGAGAGGATTCTATTATGTGCTGGTCTAAGAGTCAGAAGGATTTACGAAAGGTGGATTTCGTTCTTGTCTTTTTCTTTCTTTACTTTACTGAATCCTGATTTCGAGGATCCTTGAAATTCCTATCGCTTAGTCCGGAGTCTTATTCATTCTCATCCGGTGGTAGCTGTATATATACTGCGATGCTTTTTACAGTACTCCAGTACTTTAGGGGCAATCGATGACCCTTCTCTGGCAAAGTACTCTCCTCGTTCCCGTTCAAACAATGTCCAGCTTGGTAATCATTAGTCATTTGGATTGGCTCTCTGTTCACTCATTCGCTCGTTCATTTGGTATTCTCTTTTTCACCCTCACCCTAGCTCACACACTCTCTCTCTCTCTCTTGTGAAAGATTCAAGTTTCAAGGGTGGCTAATATTCCTGGCTCCATTTTAAAACGTACTAGTACCTCCTTCACGAGGGTTACCAGTATATCTATCATATTCCTGATAACAGAGATATGGCGAATAGTTGCGTGCTTATCGAATTGCATTCTCATCTCATGATCGAGTCTTAATGATTATTCCTGGAGATCCTTTTCTTACGCAAATATTTAGTATCCAATCCCAGTTCGAGAAGTAATTCGAAAATCCCAGATCTTCGACAGCTTCCCTAAGTTCATCTTCGTGTCCTGTAACTCGACAGCTGAGACAAAGTCCCTGATTATCTTCTCGTGATTGACTTCGTAGTATACGGGTTTATCTCTCGGGAGAGAATCTGATGACAGGACCGCCGCTCTCCCGGTTTCTCGTAGACGTGCTTTGAATTTTCAAGATCCAATCGACAAAAAAAAAGTTCACCTTTTAGTTTCTTCATCTCACTCACGTATACTCGTTGCCATTGCCCAGATCTCACTGTCGTCCAATGGGATGTAAGTTGCGAAATTTTTAAGACGATCAATCCTTTCGGATGCTGCGGAGTTACGTGGAGCAGATATCGAAGACTCTCGAGAGTGGGTTCCGGCTAGGAAGACAGAAAACCCGGTTGTAATTGGCCTTATTGAAATAGGAGATGAAATAAGAGATCCGAAGTAGGCTCTTCTCGAAAGCCGATGCGCTCCTGAACAAAATAATAACCCCAGCAGTCTAGTACACTGTCATCGAATGGAGGGTCGAATCCGGCCTGCTCCGTAGGTTAGAGTAAATTACACATTGATTAAACTTTTACCGATTTGATAGCTCGCTAATTGAGGAGTAACGAGGTATCCTGTGCAAAGTCTTGAATTTGTTCCAGGAAATAGGATCCGTGTCATTCGCTACCCTTTGATGAGTATCGCGAAGAAAATGACGCTGAGGCGAAGAATAGATAAGAGAATTTGAAGGATCAAAACGTTTCGGCGAGTCTCGTTAATCCTCGAGGGTCTAAACGTATCGGCGCCGATTTCTTAGGGACCAAGTAAACAAAAGGATCCGTCAGCTAAACGCGTGTAGTAAACGAGCTTAACTTTCTCTAACTGTCGCATTAAAAGTCGCTAACAGCCAATTTCTTGGTCTCGTTCACTCTTCCGGTACCATCCTCAGATTTTCAACCTCAGTGCAAAGGGCGAGGATACTCGTGGAGAATGGCCGTGCCTCATCTCGTCGCTTCGCATCATCCCCATGAGTAGCTGCTGATTGGACGACGGGGAGCAGGTCAGTGGGCCAGCTAGGACCTGAGTCCTATGACGGTCAGGGGTTGAGCTGCGAAGCGAAGGGTGCCGAAGAGGGGTCCAGGAGAGATGCGGCGAAGGGAAGAAGGGAGTTACGACGAAAGCTTTCAGTGAGGAGCACAGGATGGATCTTGGGCTCTGGAGAGTAGTGCATGGGTGGAAGAGAGTACAGTGCCCGTGGGATATAAGGAGGAGTGAGAGAGTGGGAAATACAGAGTTAAACAGCGAATGAGGGACTCACAGAGGGCTGGTCCTCTTCAATCGAGTTTTCCGTTGTCACTGGGTGGGTGGTGGCAGACGAGGGAGCCCCAAAACGCTGAATAGGACGCGAGACAATGGGAACCTCGGGATTGCACGTCGAGTTTTCCGAGTAATTAAGCCTCCGTTTCTGTATTTACCGTAGTATTATTGTAAAGCCTTATTTTTTATCAAGAGATACCCGAGGGAACTACACGCGGAGATGTAGACGCCTCGCTGAGAACGTTAACAATTAGTCCCGGGCTGAATTCCATGAATGTTCCTCATTATTGCCACCATAGTCGAGGGCGTCATCCTCCCACCTCCCACCCGCCAATTCTGATTCTCTTGATTCCTAGAAAAGTCTTAGTTTTCTTATTCAATGGCTACATGCTGAAATAAATCGCTAAACGGCAGGCAGTATATCTTGGGATGCTGGATGCGTGTAGTCGCAGGACTAGAGTGCTGGTGGGCGGATGGGAGGGGTGGGGGTGGGGGGATACCGTGAGATAAAATAGATAAAAGAAATCTCGACGCTAAGTGGTCAATAATAAATTGCATTTGACCACGAACAATTCGATTTCGGCAAGCGGCAGGGAGCGTCGCGACGCCAAGAATCGTCTAGGACGACCAGAAGGAGGAACCCTGGGGCTCTGATTCACTGGTGCAATTTTCTGCGAAGGATAGAAGATGGAGGGAAGAGTGAGAAAAAAATAAAGAGAACAGCAGAAAAGTCGGAAAAGTAGGAAATACAGCATTTAGACTAAAAGCAAACGTGGATTCGTAAAGGCGAAGCAAATTGATTACCAGGCTTATGTTGACAAAGTGGAGGCGACTTCCTGTCTCTGGATTCTCATAGTGACCCTGAGTCACTAGGAATTTCCTCGGATTCCCTCAAATAATTGCTCCAGTCTGGACAATGGCCGTCAATTAATACCAGCACGATGAACGACATTGAACGACGTCGCCCCAGGACATCCTGATCCTACCGGAAGGAGGGCCATCTTATGATCTAATAGGATCGACACGGTAATTCAGTTCTTTTTATAGACACAGGCGTCCCGACGCTTCTCGCTGACCACTTATAACCATCGCGGGAGTCTGTCGACACGTTCTATTATTATTATTAATATATTTATGAATAGTTATTCTTGGGAAATCCCGCCGGTAAAGTCCCGTGTTACGTAATCGTGACACCTATATATAGACGTTCAGGTATGATATCAAAGTCCCTGTCCTCAGACTTCTTTCCTTGCTGGTTGACAAAGTTGTCCAAATGTTGCTTTACAATCGTTCATTTAGAATAAAATCTTGTAAGAATGCAAATGATGAGTAACGATATTTAAAAAAAAAAATATTTTTCACTACACTGCTTTAATTGTATCGGCAGTCGGTAGAATATTTAAAACAGAGACACGTGCACCGAAGTGAAGTTTCTCGTAATTAAGCCACTTTTCTCAACAGCTAACGATAAACATTCCCTCTTCGCGAATTTGTCGAAAATATAATTTGACAATCAAAATAATTGACGTTCCTTCCTCGTGGCGTCATACTTGACAGGTATGTGGGGTATGAGAATATTTTAATCGAGGAAACATTTTCGCTTAATTACTCACGCTAATGGCTGCACTCACGAAAATTTACGTATCATTGGAATTTCTTCATTTTCTACGTCTTTACGTAATTTCTGTTACACGCGCCGGTAATGAATTTTCTTATTAATTCTTTATTTCCTTTATTCCATCGCAATAAGATACCACTTAAACTAACGACTCAGGTGAATTCTAAATATTGATTTATATTTTATCTTCTATACATGAAGAAACAGCTGTTCTGTAAGTTCAAATTGTTCCACTTGTTTTTCCATATACAAACCCTATTTACACAATTGCAATTGATACCGTAAAGTGTCCGGAGCTGGAACTCGTTATAAATAAAAAGGGGAGTCACCTATGCAATATCTTCATAATGCATTAAATTACCAGTAACAGCTAACGAATGTCTGATCTAATGAAGTTTTTAATCCTGAGCTGTCTACTCGTCTTTCTATGTGAGCATACATAAAACTGACCAGAATTTCCATTAATAATTAAATCTAATATGAAATTAATAAAAAATTTGTTACTATTATTTTATACGTCAGCGACTACTCGCGTGGCTCGTGCCGATGCCGCAGCACCCAAATGTCCCGTAAACACCACATTTCGTTGCGGTACACGCTGTCCCGAATTGTGTCACGTAATCGGTCATGAGTTATTTAAATGTCCAGACGTATGTACTTTTACCTTAAAAATAAAAAAAAAAGTAAAAGGTAAAACCAATATTCACTCAATCGTCTGATTACAGGGTTGCGTCTGGGGATGTTTCTGCAATAAAGGTTACATACGAGAGTTTCGTGGTGGCCGGTGTATACGGGAGAATGATTGCATACGTTAATTTGCAAAATCAATCATGGATAAATATAATATGTTTAATTGTCTAATTATCAAATGATAACGGTAATGATTACATGTATAACAAAAAAATATCTATCTAAATATTCAACTTCAAGTTTTTCCTCATTCGTGTCTTTAATTCGTATGCGATCTTTTTTATTAAAAATAGATCCTACGGACACTAGTTTTATTTGCTACGATAAAGTTTTGTAATATATATTATATATATACTATATGTATTATTAATCATTATCTTATTATCGGTATAACAAATAGATTAATGTGGATCGTTTTAAATAAAATTCATTAATTTGTATTCATGTCTTTTTATATTCATACCCCATTCATATACAGTCGTAACGATTCTGAGGCATTGTACGAATAACGTACGTTTACGTCATAAGTATTTATTATATCTGCACGCGCTTAAAACGTGACCCACGTAATAACTGTGCGGGAACTTTTAGTATAAAAGTGACTGAGGTAAAAGGAAATGACTAATTCCAATCCAGTAATTCAAAGTGATCGGACATCAAGATGAAGAGAATAATTAAAGCTTTCTTTCTCCTAGCAATCGTTACCATAAGTAAGTAATCGTTACCATTCACTTATTTTGTCAAGTTTAACCATTAGAGATCTCAAAGTTTGGGCCTCTAAAGATTAATTAATTTTTTTTTAGTTATTGCACAGATAAATACTGAACTTTGTGGAGAGAATCAAGTTTGGTCAAATTGTACAACTGGCTGCCCTGCGCGATGCATTCCTGACGATCGAGTGTGCCCTGCAGTATGGAGAATATATATATAAAAATAATATGAAAAACAATGGCCCGATTAAAGAATAGTATAATTATTAATTTTTTTTTCAGGTTTGTGGACCACCAGGTTGCGTCTGTGCTGGTGGCTCCAAACTGGACGAAAATGGCAACTGTGTTTATTGTTAAATACGTTAGACTGTTTTTGAGCGCTATTGTATTTTATAATTGTGACCAATGCAAATTTAACCATACAAAGTGCAATCTGGGTTAATTGAAATGACGGAACCGGAAATGCTGTGGAAAACCCAATAGTATACAGATATTTTGTCTATTCATTAAAAATTATTGATACGTGGATTCGATGACGATCATGATTATCGTACCTTTAAACCAGACGTGAGAAGCCACATCAGCTGTTGAATATATTAAAAAATGCTTGTTATATTTTCGATGTAAATTTATTTGTAAAGATGTCTCGTTAATAAATAATCCACTGACTAGATTATTTATTGTTGTGTGTATATTAAAGAAAAAATAATCATACAATTGGATATCTTTTATTAAAGTAAATGTCCCATAAATAATTTCTGGTTATAACAAAATAACCTGTAATCGTATATTATAACTGTAATCAAGAATAACGGCATTGCGACTTCGGGATGCATTTGCTGTTAGATGCGTTCGATTCCCGCACGTATCCTGCTGCACAGAAGCATCCTTTTACGCAAATCTAAAAATTTGATATAAATGTTACATCACCTTTTAAAAAAATTATCCAACTAGTACAGAATTACTAACCTGAATGCACGGCATAGGCGGTACATTGCAGATTGGAGGACAAGCTGATCCACATTCCGAGTAAACTTCATTTGGGTCTCTGCATGTACATGTGCAAATCGGCTCGCTCTGTTCTGAATCTAACGAAAAACATTTAACCAGTTAACTACTAAACCCGAAATCAAAGTTTTTCACCAAAACTGGTAAAAGCGAGTAATTCCTAATTTCACATAAAAGATCATCTATAGGGGCTTTGTCGGGTCGCTGATTACGAATCCGAACTCACCATTAAGAATTTTTAAATTTTTTATCGAGATTCGTAATCAACGATCCAAAAAACTTAGGCATACCGAGTTTCATCAAAATTCATTGAAATTTATCGGATTTATTCAATTTGCACACATATGCGTCACTTCCAGTTTTGGCACGAACATTTTCTGCACGCTACCAATTAATTGATTAACATGTATGCTAAAAAAATTAATTTCACAGCGAAAAAACTAAAACACTCAATAGTAGTTAGGAATGACATAACTGGTATAGATTTCTATTGGAATACTCACAAATGACCAGAACCGCCATGACAAAGGTTACCAGAAATAATATCTTCATTTTAACAAGGCCTCGCAGCCTGACGATGATACTGTGTCCAGATGTCCAGATCTTTTCCTTATATACGAAAAAGACAAATCTCATGATTAAATAAAATATTGATCAATGTTTTGTCAACTGGGATGCATTTGTTAATAAGAATATTGTATTGACACAACTCAGGACATACAAATACAATTAGGAGTAACTGAAGTTTTAACGACCTGTAATTAGTCTTAATTTAGTAAGATTTATTAGAAATATTATACCTGATAACATAAACGAGGTATACAGGGTGATGCTTTTGAATCGCCTCAGGCTGATATTTCGTAAATTAAGCAACATACGAAAAATACATCTTATATGAAACTTTCTTGATTTCGAGGGGGAAAGAAGATGGTATAGTCAGATTTATCGTAGGTGGAGCCGCCAAGGTTAGGTGAAGGTCAACTTTGATTTTTTAAATAGAATTTGCCCAGCTCTTATCTCATTACCATTTGGTTGTAGGCCATAAGTACCTCTGATATTTTTTATGTAAAATTGGATGCTCTTTCAGGATTTGTGAAAAAAAGTGCGCCGTTCTATTTAAAAAATCAAAGTTGACCTTCACCTAACCTTGGCGGCTCCACCAACGATAAATCTGACTATACCATCTTCATTCCCCCTCAAAATCAAGAAAGTTTCATATAAGATGTATTTTTCGTATGTCGCTTAATTTACGAGATATCAGCCCGAGGCGATTCAAAAAAATCACCCTGTATATTACTTTTTTCTACGTTATTTATTCATTCATTTAGTTTGAACAACACAAAAGCGTTTGCGTGATAACATTTTTTCAAACGTCTTTTCAAATCCAACCTCACAGGTCATAGTTCAGTTGAACATTTACGGTCAGGGTCACTTACTCAACACATGATTGTTCAAAACGAAATAATTCGTCCTAACAGGTGAAATTAATAATTAAGAAAGTAATCATTAATTTTATGTAAGAATATCAGTATATGGGTGAAAATACTTGTTTGAATGTTATCAATAAACTTGTGTATTATCTAATGATTTTAATGATGCTTAATTCACATAGGAGGAAAACTTTCAGGAGGAAAACATCCTTGCTGCATTCCTCACGAATAGATACGTCCTAGTGCAGACGCATCCGTACTTTTATTTACTTCAAAAACTGATATCGTCATCCAATTTCATAAACGGAAATTCCAAGTGAATAAATACTCGATAGCCGGTGTATTCGATACTTGTATTACTGTTACGTATAAAAGGCAGAGGAAGAAAATAGCTCTTACAGTATCGTACCTAATTCTGAAGCTTCGATTTGCCAAGATGAAGAGTTTCATATTGGTCGTCAGTCTTTTTGTGGCTGTACTGAATATCTGTAAATATTGGAATAACGTTTGACCGATTAATAAATATAAAAATAGTATTAAAGGATCATGGAATACATTTAATTAATTTTTTTTATTGTTTACTTGCCAATTAGATGTGACACAGGTCGCAGCAGAAACTTCAATAAAGTGCACAAAACCGAATGAGGAATTCGCAAATTGCGGAGATGTTTGTCCCGTTTATTGTGACACGCATCTGCCCCGTCCCTGCCCCAAAGTACGTGTTTTGTATTTATTTTATTATTGATTGAGCCGAAACAAAATCGATATATTAATAGAAGTTAATTTTTCAGATATGCAAACTAGGTGGTGGCTGCGTTTGCAAAAAAGGATACGTTCGAAAGTCGAAGAGGAATCCAAGATGCATCCTGAGAAAATATTGCCCAAAAAAAGGAAAATAAGAAAATTAAACGAATTTGATTGAAGTTATAAAATATTTAAAAAAGTTGTCTGCATTTTTATATAACAGTAATGGACTTGCCAAAATAATTGTCATTCGAGTACTTCAATAAAATTCAGTTTTCACATATCACATACTCTGCACAGTCAATTTTTCCATATTCAAAGATGCGATTGCGAAAAATTCTTAGTAAGACTGTCTAAATTAATATAATATTTAAGCCGATAAGGAGGTATTGGCCAATTTAAAATCTTGAGGAAACACAAAGGTTATTATGACTTTCAAGTAACCGTAAATTGAATAAATGTAAAGATTGTGCAAGTGTGTTGCAAATTCTTTTAGATTAGTCGCGTTTGCGTTTGCAGGTCTGTTATTCATAATTTCATTATTGGGTATAAAAAGCCACAAAAATAAATATCAGTCACATTACTGTTACAATTGTCAAACGTATCTGATCATGCAGAGTCTTATTTTCACCATTGCTCTGCTGCTGGCTGCCAGTTGTAAGTATTTTCAGAATATTTCCATTTTCTCTTAAGAATGCATTCGGGGATCTTTTCTGCAGGCATGGCAGTTAGTCCCCATCCGTGTCCCAAGAATTCCGAATTCAAAGAGTGCGGAACACCCTGTCGTGCCACGTGTACATACAAGCCTGGTATCTGTGTCAAAGTATGAAATTTTGTAAATTCCATTAATTTTGCTTATAACCTTAAAACATGGAAAAAGGATTGTTTAATGCAACGAACGTTCACCTTACGTTGCAGCGATGCGAGATAGGCTGTTTCTGTGTGAAGGGTTACATACTCAAAAATAACTCAACATTCACCTGTATCAAGGAGGAAGACTGCTGTCAGTATATTTTGGTAGAATAAAGAATAATTTAATAATCAAACGAATGTAAAATCAATAAATAAATACAGTGCATTTAGACATAGATTTTTGTAATTATCTCCTTTAACGATTATACGTCTTTTTTTTAATAATGCTTGTGAAATATCCTACGACTCGAGAAAATCGAAATAAAATTGCAACAATGACTTCGCAATAGAGGTGAGACATTAATGCATTATGTCGTTCTAATAATACAAAGCGACTGTGTTACGTGTAGATAGCGATGACGGAAGCTGTGTTGCTCAAGGTTACAAAAATAGCATCTACGATCACAAAAATAAAGACTATCTTTATGCAGTAAATATCATTCCAGTTTATTCGTCAATCTGATATCTTAAATGCATTGCATCGTCCGAATAAATCTTAGCCTTCTTTACTTACCGTTAATAAAGAAGGTACACACAGTAAGAGCTGGATGTCTTGTTAATTTCCTTGGTGCTTGATAAAAAAATAAATATTGCACCATTGTAAAAACCAATATTTAACTTCGAATGCACCTCCGAGAATGCATCAATGCATTCTAAGAGGTTCGATTAAATAAAAATACAATGTTAAATGCATACTGGACTGATAAAACATCCTATGCACACTTTTTCATACAGGTGTTTCTAAATATTGATGAAAGGTTTATCGAGTATAAAAAGATGGCGACTCAAACCATTTCGATTTAGTTTCGCATTGGAGAGTAATAACTTGCCATAGCAAAAATGAATAAGGCTCTTGTCTTACTAATGCTATTCGCCTGCTTGGCCGTCTGTAAGTATCCTTCAAGTTGCAATCAGGCGCAATTCTTTATTTTCAATTAAATTAATTGCCCATAGATACTTGAGTCAAACTTTCAAATTGTCACATTAGATTCCGCGCAGCAGCAGCGTTGCCCGAGGAATCAAGTTTTCAAAACGTGTGGCACACGATGTCCCCGAATATGCAATGTGAGGCCTAACCCTTGCACCAGGGTACGTATCGCAGTCAATAATTAAAATTTTCACAAATAATTAGCAATGATTATACGGAATTTAATAAAGATAAATATGTATATTTATACTTAGGAGTGCGTAAGAGGCTGCTTCTGCAGAGACGGACTCATATTGAAATCTCGTGGATCAAATGTGTGCGTCAACCCGAGAAACTGTCCACGTTAATTCAGAGGATTCTGATGCGTGAAAAATCGTACGCAATACATCGGCATCTGTATTGATCGGATTGATTAAAATATAATATATATATGAAATAATTAAATGAATAATATATAATTTGTGATATGATTGGTTGTCTGTATACCTAGCTCGGATGACCCCGAGCATGTGACCATCCCTCCCACGTTAACCCAGAGCGAAGATGCTTTCAATTATTACTTTTACATAGCCCGTTTCTGAAGCGTTACTCGTAGGATAAAAAACTGCATGGCCATTAATCAATTTTAAAATATATGCGAAAGTAAATGAAAACACAGACAGACCAGTGTATATACGTATAGTGCAGTTGATTAAATAATTGACGCTTTCTTGTAATTAGCAAACATTTTTAAGAATTTAATGGATAAAAACATATATCTTTAGGAATGCGTAAGAGGCTGCTTCTGCCTACCAGGACTCCTATGGAGATCTCGCAGATCGAATACATGCGTTTATGAAATAATGTGTCCACGTTAATTGAGGACGTTTTTAAATGCGAAAAAAGTATCTGTAACGTATAATATATTATATATGTATAGTGCTTCGATGCTGTCAATAACTACTACCAACGTAAATAAGATGAATAAAGCACGTTAATACGTTCGACTATGTTTCACCTGACAATGCCGCTTATTTCGTTAGGATAAAAGAAGAAGAGAAAAACACAAGGTCGAGTGTACAGTGCAGATGATTAAATATCTGACGCAATATTTTATTTTGCAAAATGGCGATAACAAGGCGATTCTCAAGTATAAAAGAATGTAATAGAAATTACTTCATTTTAGTATCACTTTCGAAAGTGATATATCCTATTGTGATAAGTGATATATCCTATATAGAATGAATAAATTTTTGATCCTGCTTCTTTTTATGGTCAGCTTGGTCGCCCGTGAGTATTCCCATTCTGCCGTTAGAAACTTATTAAATTATCAATGCAATAATAAATTTTGCAATTTTTATTTTAGTTTCCAATCAACAATCATGCGGACCGAATCAGGTTTACCAAACTTGTGGCCCAATATGCCGCCCATCGTGTGACTTCCCACGACATATGATTTGCCCTAAAGTGAGTATTACATAATGCATATAGAATTTGTAAAAGATTCATATAAATTTCATAATTTTCACAAAAATCTATTCATTTCCAGGTCTGCGTCAGAGGCTGCTTCTGCGTACCGGGATATGTATCAACGTCCCACATGTCACGTGAATGCATTCCCCCGTACCTTTGTCCGACATAATTCTCATATGATTTCCATCATAGAAATTTGACGAAAAAATCAATTGTACATCTATACTCAGTTAATGCTCGAATATAAAGTAATATCTTAAACGTGTAAAAACTATGATTTAATTTTAATAATAAATTTTTGCCTTCCAGAGCCCAAGTCAAAAAATTTTACACGCGAGGTCATTCACCCCTCACTTTTTTTCGAACCACCATATCCATATCCACCAAATAATTCTCGTCTTATCTCTGACTGTAAATTAAAACAATGACAAGTGCATGGAACAAGTGTTTAAATATCTGTTGCACCACTTTGTTGATGTTTTATTCATACCAGCAATGTTACGTATAAAAGAAGATAGCGAGTAAAGTAACTGTTTAGTGTCACTTTGAAAACACCAACGTACGTCTGACGACCATGAACAAGTTTCTCGTATTTCTTCTCGTAGTCTGCATGGCAGCCTGTAATCGTCTTTACTGTACTACTAGAAGTATCGCCGCATTTCCATTGCAATTAATACACGACTTTCAATTTAGTTTCCAATCAACAGGACGATGAATGTGGACCAAATGCTGTTTACAATCGATGTGGTTCTGCGTGTTATGTAACGTGCAATTCACCCCGACGGCCCCGGCTTTGTCCTACAGTAAGTAATATATACATATGCACTGACTGTATATCCCTATAAGTAATTGATAACAATATAAAATAACGTACATTTCCAGGTCTGCGTAGAAGGCTGCTTTTGCAAACGAGGATACGTATTCATCTCCACACAAGACAGGCGGTGTGTCCTTCAAAGAGATTGTCCGAAGTAATCGAATCTCAATGCTTGTAAAAGATAGTACATGAGATGAAAATATTCCAGCGTTAATAAATTGACTTATTGTACAACCGGCTTCAAAATTGTACCAGTATCTGAAGTAGCGCGTAAATTTTACCAAATGCAAAAAAAATCGTTATTCGTGTAGCGTATTAAAAATTCGAAAATAAATTTTATACGGCATAAAAATTTAATCAGAATCTGTTGTCCAAACGAAACGTCCCACATTGTGCCGATTAAATGACGGAACTTCGAATGATATTATAAGGGACGCATGTTACAAAATATTCATTTAACAGTAATACCTCGTCCGTGCAACTGAGGTATTACTCTTGAGAAAAAGATGCAACTGCAACTGTCTTAGGCACCTGCATCACGGATAATCAAACATTCCATCGGTGTATTTATTGTTTAACATCTGTACTCTTCCGTCGATTCTCAGAAAAGACACTTACCTGACGCAGTTCACACATTTTGCTTCTTCCACCTGCATATTGAAAATTCACGTAGACTTTTTCGTGTAAACGTGAATATTGACCCAGGATTTTTAATGCTTGTTAGGAAACAGTATATATAGGTTAAGATTGCATAATGACTTATTGCGAAATCATGGTTATTCCAATCACGCATTTCTCTGTAGATTAAATATTACCGTTTGACTGTGTATAAATATATGTATATTGTATATATGGGCCGACTGCTCCAATTACGATAGCTTCATGAGTTATCATCGACTCTCTCTCTTTCTCTCTCTCTCTCTCTCTCTCTCTCTCTCTCTCTCTCTCTCTCTGGTCATGGGCTTTCTCTATCGCATTTAACAGATTTCTCATTTCTTAATCGAATCTTCTATCCCTTTCTTCCAGCGCTACTACTACCAACACTAGAGCTTGCTTTTCTCTTGGACTGTTGACAGAGCAACGTTCACGCGTTAAAACATTTTTTCTTTAAAGTCAAAATCACACATTTCCATATGTATGCATATCTTGGATTTTTAAATGAAACAATTAGCAAACAAAAATTCCCGGCTTATATAAGAACGTCGCATCGGCACTGATCGCAGTTATTTGTCTTTGAGCATCGAAGAAAAGCAGTCAACATGTCTCGCATCGTTAAAGTGATCCTGATCGTCGCCATTATCTACTGTGCGTGTAAGTTTCTCTGCCACAAATGACAATTGGCACGTAATGCAATTGACTTGTCTGTAAAATTATTGTGAATTTCGAAAAATCGTAATTATCAAACCCCGTGTAGATTCCGAAGCTCAAGTTACGGGACAGAATTGCGAAGAGAATCAAGAATGGACCAATTGTGGATCAGCCTGCGAGCCATCGTGTGAGAATCCCAATCCTCAAATTTGTACATTCGTAAGTATCGTTATTCGTGTCCATGACGAATCGATCGATAAGGGATACTGTTTGTTTAATATTGATTGTAAATCTTTCCTTTCAGAATTGCATTATCGGATGTCGGTGTAAATCTGGATTCTTGAGAGACGCAAATAGGAATTGTGTTACGCAGGAAAACTGTCCTACGGATTAAAAAAACGTTGGGTGACATGATGTACGTATATGACGGGGGAGAAACTTAATATGGAAAGGGTTGTAATTTGAATAAAGTCAAAGTGAATAATAATTTAAGGAGATTGAACGTGAATGAAATTCCTAGACGAGAGCCTCAATATAATAGGGCTGAACGTACTTTAATTTAAGCGTCGTAGAGACCGAACCGAAAATTAATCGCATGACTGAATATCTTTATTAATTAAGGATGCGGTTAATAACTTGGCTGAGTCGCACCCTAGTTTGCCTGGCGTAACTTTGAAAACCGAACCCCATCATAAAGCAATTTGTCATTAATGGAATTTAACAGCGCATTATTAAATGAGATTCGGGCTGGGGCAGTTATGGAAGTCGAATTAGACGAGGATTTTGCGGGAAAATATTAATATATTGTCGATGGACTCGAAGGGTGGGAAAATCTTAGCTGCCGTTTATAAACCATTTCGAAATCTCAGTCCTGAACCCTAAAATAATGAGGAAACTTAGCCTCGCGCTAAAAGACACCCCAAGCTAAGTAATAGTCGGAAGAGACTGCGATTTGCCAATCTGAAAATCTTTTACCCGGACGTTACCGAAGGCGTCGCGACGCCCCGAAGGACAGTGAGTACGGATTTTGCGCTCCGGTCTGTTTTATATTCAATAGAAAAAAAAAAAAAAGATGGGACCTGGAGGAAACAGGAATCTAGGAAATAAAGATATATAAAGTCATCGTAAAGTAGGATATTGGCAACATTGCGAAACGCATATCGGCAAGCTGTTGCTGCTCGAAGATTTCGCCAGAAGATGGGAATCTCTTGGGAAGAGAAGAAAAGGAAAAAAAAAGAAGAATATTCAAGAGGCACAGAGACCTACCTTGAAAGTCGGGATGGTTCGCGTTTCCCGAAACAATAGAAGCGTCGCGACGCGTCGCGGCGTCTCGCCCGTGAAGGGCTGCGAAATACCGGGTGGCACGAGCCAAAAGGAAATACGCTGGGACAAAGCCTGCACGTAATTTTCGCCTGTCAATGAGATTCAATTGGCATAATAAAGTAGGAACGAGAATGATTTTTTGCCGCGTTCTGTGATCCAATTAAAAGTTACAACAATGAGGATCGACATGGCGAAGGAATGCTGCCTTTCGTCCGGTTATATAACTTTGTCATAATATAATATAATTCCTACAACAATTACACCGAGCAAACGATGCTCTGTGACTTTCATCAAATATTGTATAACGAGTACAGTTTGGTATTCGAACAAAAAAAAAATGAAAAAAAAACTTTGAACCTAAAACCTCCCCTACCCTCGTTTAAACATTTTCCCCCCACGTCCAATCGGCGTTTTCAAAATAACCTAAATAATCTGCTCCTGGTCCCAACTCCCAACTCCCAACTCCCAGCGTACCTATATGTAGGCACGTCATTGGATCCCTCTGTGTCTCCCTAGGGAATTACGATCCCGTTTAGTTGCTCCACGCTACGGGTTTCGCTCGTTCTCTTTCCTCGTACTATTTCTCTGGTTCTTCCGTTCTTTCATCCTCCCGTTCCCTCTCGAACGGAACGGCGACCGATCGCTCGTCAGCTCGCAGCCACCCAATTTCAAACAAAACTGTTATCAGAGGGTAGTCGCCAGCAGAGGGAAACGCGAGCTCAAATTCGAAGCATATTCGGCTGGAGGGTTCCGCCCGGGTGACTCAATGTGTTCGACCGATAAAATAGAACGTCCAGCAAGCAGAGACAATGCACCTTTTGAAGTAGAGAGCCTGTAGGGAAGGTTGGGAAGGTTGGGAAGGTTGGGAAGGTTGGAAGCTGGACGGTGGTCACTCCATGGGGCATCCCCGTTGCTTGGCTACTCCTTTGTACACATGGATCCCATGGAAGAACGATCAAACCCACATACATACAGTTCCTGACAAGAGGGACGAATTTAATACAGAGTTAATCAAAATGGTTGGGCATTAGAATTCGCTCGTATGAAATGTCACGTAGTTCATCTTGCGGAAGAAATGACGTCCCTATCCGGGAGCCACGCACGTCAGGAGTCTGATGGACCGTCACGCACCGTCGAGCACATCCGCCTGATAAGATTCCTTAAAATGTCTCATTTTGTCAGTCGGTTTCAGCCGAGTGAAAGAAAACAATAAAAAAAGAAACGATAATAATAACGCTCGGGTACCGGAAGCAAATAGCAAACTCCTGACTACGAGTACCGAGTAAACCAGTAGAAGCGTGTAACGCGATCTGGTATCCGGACTGAGAAATTATGAGTAAAGTGGGAAACCGTTGGTAAAGCAAAACCGAGTTAGACTAGTTTGGCACATTGCGCCACATACAAGGCGTCCCGACGACCGCAGGCAAGCGCCAAGTAAACGTTGGGCAGGGGCGCGAGCCTGTTGGTATTATTATTATGCGTTATTAATGAACCCGTTAGAACGGCCGGAAGACGAAGACAGTCTTGTTAATGGAAATCAAATTGAGAACAAATTTCTACCGAGCTTGTATTTCCTTTGTCCTGGCTTTCGAGGTAACGCCCTCTCTTGGAAAAAAAAAAGGCCTGGGGTGCACCACGGGGTTTCAGCAACCACCACTGGCGAGGCTTGTTCCTTCGGGATGAACGTTCGAGTGCGTGAAAAGTGTGTCGACGGGAAGAGAGAGAGAGAGAGAGAGAGAGAGAGAGAGAGAGAGAGAGAGAGAGAGAAGAATAGAAAAAAATTAAAAGGAAAAGAAAGAAATACGTATGGATCCAGAACGAGTTAGTTTTGAGTATCATGCAAAGCGAAGGCATCGGGTATAGTGTATTCGGAAGTGGCGGCTCGATGGATGAAGGTGCGAGGTGCCCTGGGTGTTTTATGAGCTCGCAAAAGCCACGAAATTTTAATCCACTTTGAATAACGAGATGGTAGAGTCTCCCATAAACGCGAATCGTAAAGCTGTCCAGAATTTGCAAATCCCGTGCTGCAACGACCGGAGGCTGTTACGCAGCCTCCGGGTCCAGCACTGTCGCAGCCCGTAGCTCCGCATTCATTTCTCTAGCGTAAAAAGCACAATAGTGAGAAACAGCAGTGCGATTGCAACGAACACCTCGACTATACTCTATTCGTTAAAACATTTAAATACTTTGATCGTTATCACGAATCTCTTGTTTCTAGCAGACAGGTACTCTGTTGCAGGCGAGTGAAACTATTCTGATGAGAGATACAAATCTACATGTAGATTGAAACGTATCTCGTTAGCCAAGTATTATGAATCACAATTTATCAATATAAAAGACACGGATTACGAGTGACATTATTCAATGCAGCGACCGCAGATAAATCGTAAACGAACGAACCGGATCGAAATGGCCGTTTCAATGTGCACAGCTATATAGGCGCCCACGATTGAAAATAGAAGGAAGAGGTAAAATTGACAAGCACGTAAAGGGTGGGTACCTTGTATGGAATCTTGTTGTGAACAAAAGAGGCATTTCGTTACTTTGAGAACGTATCGGTAACGTGAAAGGTTTTATGACTATCCATTGGAAATTAATTGAGCAGATAGGCGAGCAGCCGGTTCTATCCGAAATACTCGAGATCGTTTCGATAGTAAATGTATTACCCTGATCGTAAAACCGACTACGGTCTCCACCTGCGATAACGCGCCAATAAAATTCAGGTTATTTACAGCCGCAATTTAAAATACACTTACGTCGCAAAAATTCGGAAGAATCGCCCAACCAACAATCTACGTTAACTGACTATATCCCCGATTTTCAATTATTTACTCAAATTTCACCTTCGAGATTAAATATCATCTCGATCATACCAACACAGATTAAATCAAACTGACAATTAATAATCAGCAATCCAATGACGAATGACATCCAACCTGTAATATTTTAATTATATCTCTCATATGAGTTTTCCAATAATAATAATAATCGAGAAAAGACTACATTCCACGAGCAGATCCTTACGAGATGCATTCCGCGTCATTTTCTCTTCTCGCCTTATACGTCACGGTAAATCGTACTTTAAATTTTATCACAGTGAACTTCATTTGCATCAATTTAATAGCACTTATTAAGTCGCAATACGGCCAGACATTCTGGAGCTCCGTTAATGGCCTGTCACTTTTTCTAGCCTCACACAGTAATAATATAATCGATACCAATGATGCTAATCAGAGCGTAGACAACAGTCCCGATAAAAGTTCCGGCCTAGAGATCAAAATATTTAATTGGTCTGGGAAATTAATTGTTTTATAAAATCTTGCCGATTAATATGAATGAGAATCTTGATCTACGTCAGAGATCAGATATGACTGATTACGAGCGCCAACTGGGAGCTTCGAAGTCGTTGCTCTTTCTCCTTGAGCTAGATGGTGCTCGCAGTTGGACATTGCACTATCGTAACGTTAGTTGCAGTCAATAACATCCAGTGCTCGATGCGCCAATTAATTCTCAGCAAATATTCATGGCCTCAGGTACATCGGGCACGTATATAGACATACGTTTCGAAGCGTCACAGGATGCAATGGATGTTCATATATAGGACATATATGGATACAGCATACTATATGGTATAAATTCTTATCTCACAACATGGTGAATCGTGCGCGTTGCGTCACGTGCCGCGGCAGATAGGTTGCTGTACATTTTCTCGATGCCAGCTGGCCCCGTGAGAATCCATTAGGCAAACAATCGACAGTCAGTAAATAAGATGCAATTTATTGGCGAATCAGGGTTTCATTTTACAGTCGGTTCCTGTACGCTGCATTTCAGACGAGTGCAGCGAGCGCACCAATCTCCTTGAACCGCATTCGGTACGTAGACCTCAGTCAAGTTTTGAGTCAGATGAGTGAAGGGAGGGAGGGGTAGAAAGATCATAAAAGTGCATTGAAAGATTCACAGGTGGAAAGTGTGACGCAATTAGTCGCGGCTAGAGAACGTTGAATAATTTGCATTAAGAAAGTAGTGGTTGCGCCAATTGTATTATTGCCGATATAAGTACGACTAGTCTGAATCCGATCGACGCGAAATACGAATACTTTACGAGGAAGCAGGAATTGATATACAGTGTAGTCAATAGTTATGCTATGGGTATATACGTATACATATAA